CGGCGCGCGGGGGCGGGCGCGGGAGCCGCGGCGCCCGGGCTCCCCGACGTGTCCCTAATTTTTGTGTGACCTCCCCAAAGCCGCCTCCTGCAGTGATGAGGTGAGGAGCAGGCTCTTGTGTGGATTCAAGGCTCTGGTCTGGGGAGACGAGCCAGCCTTTTTCCTCCCAGAGCTAGAGCGCAAGAAGGCCGGGCTGGGACGCAGTCCGGACACTGGGGCCGCGGAGGGTGTGCTCACCGGGAGGCTGAATGGAGGCCTGAAGCCCCGCACCTCCACGTCAAGGGCGTGGAGACCCCGAGTCTCCCACTCAAGCGCCGGGGACCGAACACTCCCCGCCACCGCTCCTGCTGGCGAAGAGCCGCCTCTCTGGCGGCAGAATCGCTGCTTTCAACCCCTTCCTCGCCAGCGTGCGGCCCGGCCGCCCCGCCTCTGCTTCCTGATCTGAAGCGGGGCTCCTCACTCCGCAGGGCCCGCCCGAACCCTCAGCCGCGGGCCTGGTGACCGCTCCCGTCTGGAGAGCCATGACTCAAAAGCTGAGATTTCGGATGATGGGAATTGAGGAAGACATTTAAGCTGCCCGGAATCGCGTCTAGCCCGGAGTGTGCGCTGATTAGCACGAGCTGCTACTATCTTCGTTTAGTCCAGTGCTGTGCAGGGCTGGAGGCAAGCACAGGCGAGGGCGCAAGAGCACGAGGGAGCTTGCTGAGTGTTCCTGGGAGCCGAAGGGCGTCCAGTCTCCAGGCTTCCTTGGAGCACGGCGGCCGATGGTACGGATGCTGTGGGCGGGGAGTGGGTGGAGGTCAGACTCAGTCAGATGGCAGTGGTCGGGCCTGGGGGGGCGGACGGGGAGAGGAGGAGCTCGGGTGTGCATCTCCACGGGTGGGGGCTGACTTTGAAGAAGAGCTAGGTGGGCACGAGAGGCCCGTCGGGGTCTGTCACAGCAATTCGTGCGCCAGCGTTGGAGAGGAGGGGACTGAGACTAAGGGCTGACTCAGTGAGGAAGGGGCCAGAAGTAGCAGGACACCCAGGTTGCTGGCTCATGCAGTTGGTGAATGGGGATTTGCTGTTGATTGAGACAGCAAAGCAGAAACAATGGAGGATCCTCTCGGGTGGAGGAGGGAGGGGGCAGGGGAGTGAAAATGGTCAGTTCAGGTTACTGTGACTTGGAGGTTAAGATGCTGGTGGGTTATCTAAGTGGAGACGTCCTGAGGTCAGTTTATTTATACTCTGCTCTATCCTGGGTGGGATTTAAAGTGGTGGGTAAGGGAGCCTGGCACGGTGGCTCATGCCTCTAATTCCAGCACGTTGGGAGGCCAGGGCAGGAGGATTGCTTGAGCCCAGGACTTGGAGCCTAGCTTGGGCAACATAGCAAGACTCCATCTCTACAAAAATATAATAATTAGCCGGGTGTGCTGGCACATGCCTGTAGTCTCAGCTACTCAGGAGGCAGAGGCCGGAGGATCGCTTGAGTTCAGAAAAGTTGGAGACTGTGGTGAGCTGTGATCATGCCATTGCACTCCAGCCTGGTCAACAGAGTGAGACTCTGACTCAAAAAATAAAAAGATAAAGTGAATATAAAGATACATAAAATAGAGTAAAATATTACAAATTAAGCAGGAGAGAAAGCAGAAAGAAAAACAAGAATGAAATGTAAACCGGAGGGAGGATTGAGTTGAAGACAAAATACACAGCAGAAGGCAGAAGGTGCAAGCTGGCTGGGTTTAGCTGAATTCTGTTTGACTTGACCTGCAGTTTTATGTTTGGTTTTGGTGGATTTTGTTTGCTTGTTTTTTGAGTTGCAGTCTTAAAATCTAGGTGTTCTCAAAAATTAGGATTTCTGTTTTTTCTAAAAAATAAAATGGGAAGATCTGACAGCCCCAAGTCATATCACATCTGGCAGCAGTGGTCTGGATCTGAGAAGCGGTTACCCCTCTTGAGAGGGCATGGGCTCTCTGACTTCCTGCTGTCCCTCCTTTCTGCTTGTCTCCCAGTCCTGAGGCAGGTGAAAGTACTTTTACCAACATGGACTATTTCTGTGAACCCACATCTCTATCAAATGTAATCAAATAAAAATGAGCCAACATGTTTTTAAATTTTTTCTTTCTTTCTCTGGGTCTTATTCTGTCTCCCAGACCTCAAACTGCAGCCTTGAACTCCTGGACTCAATAAATCCTCCCGACTCAGCTTCTGGCTGAGTGGGGGGTACAGATATGCGCCACTGCAACTGGCTAATTTTTTTTTTTTTTGAGTTGGAGTCTCACTTTGGGAGTTGCCTCCACCTCCCAAAGTGCTGAGTTTGCGGGCATGAACAACTGCGCCCAACTGCCCAACTAATTTTTTTGATTTATTGTAGAGATGAGGTCTTGCCAAGTTGCCCAGGCTGGTCTCGAACCCTGGACTTAGGCAGTCCTCTCGCCTCCACTTCCCAAAGTGCTGGGATTACAGGCATAAGCCACCACACCCAGCTTATGACTGGCTAATTAAAAACATTGTTTTTGTAAAGACAAAATCTCACTATATGCCCAGGCTGAACTTGAACTCCTGGGCTCAAGTGATCCTCTCACCTTGGTCTCCCAAAGTGCTAGGATTAGAGGTATGAGCCATTGCACTTGGCCCTTGAGCTTGCTGCAACAAGTAGTAAAATCATATATGTGGCCTAGGTCACCCCTGAACTTGACAGTAGACTTTCTAGCAGCCAAAGAAAAAGAGGATAACTTAGCAGCCAGGCAATTTCTAGTATCCATAGGATGATTTATTTATTTATTTATTTGAGTCAGGGGTTGCACTCTGTTGCCCAGACTGAAGTGCAGTGGCACAATCATGGTTCACACAGCCTTGACCTCCTGGGCTCAGGCGATCCTTCGACTTCAGTCTCCTGAATAGCTGGGACTTCAGGCGCATGCCTGGCTAATTTTTTAATTTTTGTAGAGACGAGGCCTCACTATATTGCCCAGGCTGGTTTTGAACCCCTGGGCTCAAGCAATCCTTCTGCTTCGGCCTGCCAAATTGTTTGGATTACAGGCATGAGTCGCTGTGTTGGGCCCATAGGATGATTTCTTAGGCAAAATAGAACTCTTCCAACACAAAGACTAGATGACATGTCTCCTAAGAATATTCAAGAAAAGGAATGCTAAGTTCAAGCAGCATCCATCCCCAGAATAGATTCAAGTCTGAGGTGGAATCTGGCAGCTTCAAGCAACATTTCCCTGAAGCACAGCTGCTCAGACGATTCTAGAAAAGGCTAGTGGGATATAGCTCGGGAGTCTACTTTTCTACTGATCTGGCCTCACACAGGGATAATTTAAGAAACTTTAGAAACATCTGGAGAAATGCCTGGACTCCCCCAAATAATCCCCCATAGATGATCTAAGGCTGTGCTGTCTGGAATTGTAGCAGCCATCTGTGACCCTCAGGGTACAAGTCAGAGGTGACAGCCAGCACACAGCAGATGTGGAGGAAAGGGGAGCATCTGCCACCTTAGCCAGTATAGACGCCGCATCTATACTCTAACCTCATTTGAGGCAGAAAACAGAAAAGGGCTTTGGTGATATCGTTGAAATACAAAAACAGCCACCAGTTCAAGTTCAAAGAAAGAGCAACCGAAGCCACAGTTTAGTTTCTTCACCAGGGCGTGAACTATAAAAGTATGACAACTAGACTGGCCATGGTGGCTCACATCTGTAATCCTAGGACTTTGGGAGGGCGAGGCGAGAGGATTGCGTGAGCCCAGGAGTCTGAGACCAGCCTGGGCAATGTGGCAAGACTTCGTCTCTACAGTTAAAAAAAAAAAATTAGCCAGGCTTGGTGGTGTGCACCTGTAGTCCCAGCTACTTGGAAGGCTGAGGCAGAAGGATCGCCTGAGCCCCGGAGGTCAAGGCTAGCTGTGACTGTGCCACTGCCCTCCAGCCTGGGCGACAGAGTAAGACCCTGACTTAAAAAAAAAAAAAAGTAAAATAGCAAATAGCTGGGCTATGGAAACTCTGGCGTGTTACAAGGTGTTGTGAGTCCAGATACTGCACGGCTAGGACTCTTGGGGTTATCTGGCCAGGACTGGAGAAGTAGAACTGGGAATTGTAATCCTGGAGTTTGTAGGCAAAACTAGCACAGTAGGTGAAATGGTCTAGGCTTACCACATGTAAAGGGCCGTCCTTGGAAGACGAGGCTTCTGCTTTAATTTTTTTTTTTTTTTTGAGTTGGAGTCTCACTCTGTCGCCCAGACTGGAGTGCAGTGGCCGCTTCTGGTCACCGCAGCCTCGACCTGCTGGGCTCTGGCAATCCTTCCACCTCAGCCTTCCAAGTAGCTGGAACTACAGGCGCGCGCTACCATGCCCGGCTAATTTTTTGATTTATTGTAGAGATGAGGTCTTGCCAAGTTGCCCAGGCGGGTTTCGAACCCGTGGGCTCAGGCAATCCACTCACCTTGGCCTCCCAAAGTGCTGGGATTACAGGCTGAGCCACCGAGCCCAGCCCGAGGCTTCTGCTTTTAAAGCACAGGAAGGAAGAAGAATTAGAGAAGCTGGAGGAACCCAGCATGGCGAGAGGTCACAAGACCAGAGAACAGAAGCTTTGGGGAAGGCAGGGACAGGGAAGAGGGGGTCAAATGCCGCCCAGTAATACGAGCACATGTCAAATGGAATGCAAAGAATAAAGCATGTAATGTCCAGACAAATGGGAGTGAAGTCTAGATGAGAGAAATATATCCTTAGTATATGATGAACTTTGGAACCCAGTGTTGGTTAAGGTTGGAATTTTTTTAAATGCTAAGACCCCAAAGAAAAGCAAGGGTTACAGGATCTTTACCCTCAAGGCCCCATCCAGCTCTGCTCGAATGTGAGGAAGAAGCCTTTGTCACACGGAGGCAGACTTCACTCTCCAAGGAATTCATCTGTCTGGAACGATGCAACCGTAATTAGCCTCTGCGACTTAGGAACTTGGAGTCTGTAACCTAACCTGAAACTGGCAAATCTAGTCTTTCAAGGTCAGTTCTTTGTGGAAAGAGAAAGAGTTCATTGGATTTGTGGACCAAGAGCAGGGCTTCCTGGGGATTCACCCAGCCTAGGGTGCATCTTAAGTGGGGTGTGTCAGTCAGGGGCTGGTTGCTGAAGCATGAGAGGAATTGTGGGTGGCGCCCAGATCTCTTTCGAGAGCTGTGAAGAAACAAGGCTTGAGGCGAGTCTTCCCTCCATGATGTCCAAACCATGCTGCAGAATTGGCTGGATGAGAAAACCACTCCGACTATGGCCACAGTTAGAGCTCTGTCTCACTCTGCAGCCACTGCTACCTTAGCCAGTATAGACGCCGCGTCTGTACTCTAACCTAATTTGAGGCAGAAAACAGAGGGGAAAACAGGCTTGCAAAACTGCAGATCAAGTTTTAAAGATAGAAAGCTTTTCAGGGTGGCAGTTTTTGGAAGGAGGTTAGAGATGCAGCAAGTAGAAACGTCCCCCTGGAACCTCCAAAATGTCCCTGTCCTCTCAGCTGCTGCCTGTGGGAGGCTGCAGAGGGGCCGACGGGAGGCTTTCGGAGTTCTGGGTCACAGAAACAGACTCATGACGAGTAAGTCCCTGAGATTCTCTGAGCAGACGTTAGTCAGCTGATGCAGAGGACTGACATAGCTGTGTTTGGGGGGAGATGCTTTCAGAATCCCAAAGAGTGATGTTTAAACTGTGATTAGTCAGAACCTCAGTTCTAGTTCTACTAAGATATTCAAGGAGGTTCCTTAGAGAAAACTCAGTCATTTCCCTCACATTTTCATGTCCTGTGTGGTGGGTAAGGGGCTGTAGAAAATAGGAAACAAAGGTCGGGTGTGGTGCTCTCACCTGTAATCTTAGCACTTTGGGAGGTGGAGGAGAGGATTGCCTGAGCCCAGGAGTTCAAGACCAGCCTGGGCGACTTGATGAGTCCTCTCCTCTCTACAATAAATTGAAAAGTTAGCCGGGCATGGTGGTGTGCGCCAGTAGTTCCAGCTACTTGGAAGACTTGGATCGCCTGAACCCAGCAGGTCAAGGCTGTGGTGGCTGTGCGGGTGCCACTGAACTCCAGCCTGGGTGACAGGGTGAGACTGCTACACACACACACACAAGAAAATAGGAAACAGCACCCTCTCCTGCAGAGCTTAAGGGTGTGTCCTTTCTGAGTCTTCACATGAGAATTTCATTCCTCACATTTTAATTTTGCTTATTTATTATTCTATTTATTATTTATATATTATTATTATTTTTTTTTGAGTCAAGGTCTCACCCTGTTGCCCATGCTGGAGTGTAGCTGCATGATCATGGCTTACCGTAGCCTCCACCTGTTGGGCTCAGATGATCCTCCTGCCTCAGCCTCCTGAGTAGCTGGGACTGCAGGCACATGCCACCACACACTGCTAATTTATTTTATTTTTTTGTAGAGGCAAGATCTTGCTATATTGCCCAGACTGGTCTTGAACTCCTGGGGCAGGCAATCCCACCTCCGTCTCTCAAAGTGCTGGGACTACAGGTGTGAGCCACTGCACCTGGCCTCATTGCTCACATTTTTTTTTTTGAGTTGGTATCTCACTCTGTTGCCCAGACTGGAGTGCAGTGGTCGCTCCTGGTCACTGCAACCTCGACCCACTGGGTTCCGGCGATCCTTCCGCCTCAGCCTTCCGAGTAGCTGGAGTTACAGGCACGCACTACCATGCCCGGCTGATTTTTTTAATTTATTTATTGTAGAGATGAGAGTTGCCCAGGCGGGTCTCGAACCCGTGGGCTCAGATAATCCCCTCACCTCAGCCTCCCAAAGTGTGGGATTATAGGCTGAGTCACCGAGCCCGGCTTGCTCACATTTTTATTTCTGAAAATTTTTATCTCATAGAAATATAACTATTTACATTGCACCACTTTTCTGACAAGTCATGTAAAAAGAACTTTGAATTTTTTTATTTTATATTTTTATTTATTTTTATTATGATACTGTGGGGTACAGTTAAGGGTTAGGTATACAAATACGTTTCGTTCAGACACCCTTGTTGATAAGAGGTGTTTCCCCGTCCCCAGACAGATATTTGCTACCGTTAATCCCATCTCCCCCCGCATAGTTTCCCACTACTGTCAGTCATTTTCTTATAGTATTACATTGGATGTTCAAGGTCCATTATATGAGTGAGAACATGTGATAGTCGGATCTTTGTTTCTGTGAGAGGTCACTCAGTATTATAG